GCTTGCTAAAATTCGGTGGTTCCATCAAAAAATCTGTACAAAAATTATGACGAGCTCTGGAAAGTAGAAAAAAGTTGTGCTGTTTCCTGTAGGGTTTGCTCCATCCATCCATTACTTGGGCTCCTTCTGAGGTTTGTTATAAAATTTTAAAAAAATTGTGAAACTTGGCCATCTCAAAAAGCATAGGTCGCAGATTTTGTCTCCTTTCTGGAAGCTCACTGACTGTATTGCAACAACTTCATAACCATTAGAAAGGGAATGAAATGCTGCATCAAATGCTACCAGAATCTCTTACACATCTTTATTTCACGAGATGAGGCATACGTTTGAAAAAAGCGACATTACTTTCGGAACGACCTAATATATTAGGTCGTTTCATAAGTTCATCGACTTTTTATTTTTGTCGCCGTTTTTCGATGAAGCGGTTGGTTTACGGCAAAATACCTATACCACTGAAAAGAGAAAATCTTGCTCTACAAGAACTGTTGTTCGTTTTTGGGGCAAACTTGAATCCCCTTCTTTTACGACTTATCAAAGCAAAATTTTTTGAGAGACAAAAATTGGCGATTGCGGCAACTGCAACTTTCGATCCGTATACGGAGCCACAAGTGAGAATTTTTCGTCTGAAGTTGTTATGAGTGATGAGAAACAACTGTTTGTGGAACTACGGTGCATATAAAAGTAGTCTCCATATCCAAAGAGAGGCTATAAAGAAAGATTAAGCGCATGTTTACCATGTGTGTAGATGTTTTGCGTTTGGCACAATTTGAAGAAGTTCCCACGTCAAAATTTTTTTTTGAGAAAGCGTAAAGTGTTGGCCAGAGCTTGTACTCATACATCTACACCACTTAAAAGAACGCATCCATTCCTCAAGTTCCGATAGGAGGACCAACACATTGTGTCGCTGACAACGCGTCAAACTCAAGTGGCAGCAGTCAAAGACAACAACCATTGGGACCTTGTTCAAACGGTTCTATGCATATTGGCATGCTGCAAATTTGTCAGTGTTTCAGTCTTGCTTGCTACTATCCATCCCGCCTACCTATGACAGAAACATCTTGCGGAATACGGACCAAATGCGGAAAGTGCAGTTGCCGCAATCGCCAATTTTTGTCTCTCAAAAAATTTTGCTTTGATAAGTCGTAAAAGAAGGGGATTCAAGTTTGCTCCAAAAACGAACAACAGTTCTTGTAAAGCAAGATTTTCTCTTTTCATTGGTTTAGGTACTTTGCCGTAAACCAACCGCTTCATCGAAAAACGACGACAAAAATAAAAAGTCGACGAACTTATGAAACGACCTAATAGATTATTCGTAGCTCTTGTAGCAACATCTTGGATGTAGTCGTTCAGCATATTGTGACGAAATTTTGATGAGATGCTAACAATTTCTAGTGTCGTTGAACTTCCGCGTACAGGTTTTGAAGCCTCACTTGTTGTATGTCTAATATTAGGACATAGATTTCGTTATTATGTAACTGTTTTTGATAGGTGCAGCTCACTTTCGAGCTCTTTCCCACGTTTTTTTGTGTTAGCGCGTTCAGAGTCTATAACTTATTAATTTTTGTTTTTAATTCTAGAATGGAATTACGTAACTATTTGGTATTTCATGGGTTAAATAGTGTTTTTATATTTTTAGAATGAGTCACATTCAGAGGTAAACATAAGCTATTGTAGTACTTCGAGAAATCCACTTTTGGAACTACGAAGGAACAGAAAGCTTTCGAAAACAGTTTGTTCCAGAAGACGTCGAGCAATTCATCGTGTAAGTTACCACCCTTTTTTCTTTGACTGTTAGGTAGGGGGTCAGACTTATTCGACTCAACCGGTTCGTCCGACTCACTCGTTGGCTGTTGGTCAAAGCACTGAATTGACCAGTAGCGAATGGGATGAACCGGATAAGTCTGGCTCCTGCCTTACTTTTTCTTCTGTTTTTGATTTTCTCACTCTTTAGCTGAAATCATCCTTCTTGATGGTGTGGCTTGCATCTGTCGACCAAACGTTGTGTACATGTACGTTCTCGGCAGTAGTCGCGAAAAAATTGGCTTTGGAATCTCTGCTGAACTGCCTTTTCGATGCCATCTCTACAGTCCTTCGGAAAAATGTTGAGAAGAAAGCCCTGATCGATGCAATGGATACTGCATAAGTTCTGTCCGATTTGAATTTTTCGAGAAGGCGTCATAACCAGGGTAAAGCGGGGGGTGCGGCACAAGACCGTCGGATACGACCCCCCCCCTTGGGCCGGACCTCGGCACGACCCCCACCCCCATTCCCCACCCCCCCCCCCCGCTCTTGAGCTTCCATAGCTTCACATAACTGACTTTTATATATTCTCGGGACGTCATCCATGAACTCTTTAACTATAAAAGTTATCATAAGTCAGCAACAATAAAATAATTCTTGATCACTACTCAAAATATAAAGCAGCCAGTTTCACAGATACAATGGAATTTTCATGGAATTTTCATGATGATGAAGTAATTACATGGAAGTTCATTCTGATCACTCAAGCTGACCTTGCTACGACCGTGACAGACGAGGTTCGGCATGTTGACAATTTGAGTCTTCGAGATCAGACAGTACCTCCTATAAGGAATTTTAAAGCTACCAAATCTTCCACATCATTGCACTTACCTTCAAAACTTCTACGAAGCACTTTCCCTGTACGTAATTGTCAGTCTTGATGAAAAAATCTCGCAGGTGGACTCTCCAACAGGATTGTACCTAAGGAAACGGTCATAGGTTGTCAGTGTTGTCGGGGTCAGAGATAGTTTAGAGAGCGCGCGAAACGTGGAGGCTATCAACGACCGGCAATCTCGGCAACCCCGACAACATCGACAACACCGACAACCTATAGCCGTTCCCTTAGCTTGTAAAGCAAAGAAGAAGCTTAAATAAAGATGTACCAACACAGAAGAAAAAAGTTCAAGAAAAAAAAAGATGATTAGTCGCAACGCTAAAAAGTAAACAATTCTACTTATTCGGAGAAAACCATATTCAGAAAACTCACCCTTCATCATATAATTCGTCGATAATCAATATGCATGTATCCATTGCATCGATCAGGGCTTTCTTCTCAACATTTTTCCAAAGGATTGTAGAGATGGCGTCCAAAAGGCAGTTCAGCAGAGATTCCAAAACCAATTTTTTCGCGACTACTGCCGAGAACGTACATGTACACAACGTTTGATCGACAGATGCAAGCCACACCATCAAGAAGGATGATTTCAGCTAAAGAGTGAGAAAATCAAAAACAGAAGAAAAAGTAAGGCAGGAGCCAGACTTATCCGGTTCACCCCATTCGCTACTGGTCAATTCAGTGCTTTGACCAACAGCCAACGAGTGAGTCGGACGAACCGGTTGAGTCGAATAAGTCTGATTCCCTACTCAACAGTCAAAGAAAAAAGGGTGGTAACTTACACGACGAATTGCTCGACGTCTTCTGGAACAAACTGTTTCGAAAGCTTTCTGTTCCTTCGTAGTTCTAAAAGTGGATTTGTCGAAGTACTACAATAGCTTATGTTTACCTCTGTGACTCATTCTAAAAATATAAAAACACTATTTAACCCATGAAATACTAAATAGTTACGTAATTCCATTCTAAAATCAAAAACAAAAAACAATAAGTTATAGACTCTGAACGCGCTAACACAAAAAAAAGTGGGAACAAAATCCTCAAAAATTTGTCATAGCTCCATGCCATCCCTATGTCTCTTCTATTTATGCGCGCTAAACCTACACTCGTATGGTGACATCAACTGAACATGTGTCAGAATTGCTAATTTTGTATCAACTATGAAAGAAGGCATGGCACTCCAGCTTGCTTTGCTTGCTTCGAAATCTGTTACATTTTGCCTATCAGAACTTATAGCAATGCTTCCAGCTAGTGTACCCCAAACCAAACAATTATCCCCAACAAAAAATACATGGCTTGTTTGCTGACAAACTGATATGTTTAGCGCGACTGCACGTAGACCATCTTGTATGAATAACCAAAGCAAATCCTGTAGCCGTATTCATCATTGATACCTTGAGGTAAATTCTACCTTCAGGTAGTTTTATCACTCATTATCAGCAAGTACCCGTATTCACAAAAGTACCTTGAGGTAAGTTCTCAATGTAATTTTGCTGATAATGAGTGATAAAACTACCTGGAGGTAGAATTTACCTCAAGGTATCAATGATGAATACGGCCATTGGTTTTATAGAATTTATCCACAAAGTGAAACGTGAAGGACTGATAAACGCCGTTTTAGATCATGCTTTTATCGAAATTTTTGGTCAATAAAAGCATAGTCGGCAAAAACGTCGGCAACAATTGCTTTAAAAACACTAGCTTTGACTGGAAGTAGTTTGTCAAATTTCTAAGGAAGAGCCTCCATCTAAATGCTCAGTATCAGAAAGAGGTATTGAGACTACCCGCTACTGAATTATTACCTGCCTACAACCAATTAACCTACCTACATACACATCATATTCTGTGAAAGTTGTGCAAACATAAAGGAGACCTGTTCTCACTCAGACAATCGACGGGACCCCTCCGCCGGACAGTCCGAATTTGCCAGAGTCGCGCCGGACCCAGTTGACAATGAGAGAGGGGCAAATGGGATAAACCATTATATGTCGGAGTCGGACAGTGGCACTAGCTACCGTAACCTGGGCGCGCGTCGGGACCAACCAAAAACCGGAATGAGCTTGGCATGAAGCCAAATGCGCCGCCAAGGCCACTTCTTGGTTTTTGTGGATATCCTCGCATGAAGTGTCAATATTGTGGTATTTTTATTGTTTTTTCTTCGTTCTAGGCCTTTGCATCGAACGGTAGCCCACCCTAGCGTTGTGCCGCTATGAAAATGGAAAAAAAACACGACTTTTTTGACTGCTTCTTCAACTTACATTCGTCATTTCGCCATTGTTTTCATCCTCTTCCTTCAATAACGCGAACTCGCTATTGCATGGCCTTATTTTCGGTAATCTGGCGAGCTGCCTTTTTTGCAGGACTGTTGCAGAAAGAGTTGATTCCCTTGTATGAGCTCAATCGTGGCGATGCCGTTACGATCGCTGTCATTGCTGGCGACACAGTGAATGGACCTATAGCAGTAGGCGTGACTCTGATTTCTTCTCAAGAAATGGTAGCGAACAAGTTTGAGGTAGTTCACCTACAGTTAGACTCGTGGGCTAGGCAAGCTCAATAGCTGCTATAGGGCAAAGACGTTCAGATTCTGCACCTTTATCGCGACCTTTTATGGTAAGTTTTTCACTGCTGTCATAATCTGTGAAGTTGCAAGTAAACTCCTTTTCAAAATAAATAAGGCCGTTCTTGTTTTCTAGTAAAGACCATTCGACGGAGCGAAGCAAGCTCTACAAGACCACCAAAGCTCCGCTAATGATCCAGGTAAAATGTGGAGCCAATAATCAGATTATCTCAACTATCCCAAAAATCGGATCTCCATCCAGATCTTCATGGACCTCTAAATTGGTCATTATACGGTAGACACTTAGTGGTACTCGAAAGGTATTTGGTGGATTTTCAGGGACTCAAGATTGAAAAACTGAAATAGTCCGCAAGTGCAAAATAAATTTTTCTGGGTTTCTAATGTTAAACCTAGTATTTCTCGATTGCTAGGGTGCATGCAGAGGTAAACTTCAAGGTTATACTTATCAAGGCTTGTGTTTAGTATACAGACATATTCGGGATGGGCTGAGGGCGGAGTTTGCAATTTTAGGGCCATCTTTTGTTTCTCGCTTTTTAAAGGCATATTTCAATACCACTATGTGTCTACTGGTATAATGACCAAGATGGAGATTCGTACGTTTGTTTTAAACAAAATTCAATTCTGATCGAGTTTGAGTGAGTGAGTGATGTGTGACATATGAGTGTTGTGGAGTGTGTATGCGTAGGCGAGTGGGAGATAATACAACAGTGAGTTGACAGATCGAGTTGAGTACAAGAAACCAAAGTTGCCACTCCAGATAACATAATGCTGCTGGTGGACTGCCGACGTCAGAATAAATGATGCGGATGTCCGACATCCACAGGTACGTTTTTTGATTTTCGGACCGCATGCATTCGGAAATCTCATTTCAGTCATCCCCTTCAAAAATTTCGTCAGATGTCCAAGAAAAACATGCTCATTTGTTCCGGGCATTCGTGCATATCTATATCCAACCTGTTTGTGGATAAAGAGGCGGTATGTTCTAGCCCTTTTCGTATCTTACCATATTCTGACAAACAGCCTTATTCAAGCTAGGTCAAAACTGTGACCGCTTAAACTGGGATATAATACTCGAATTCAAAAGTGAGTCGAAATGACAGTGAGATAGTTACACCTTATTCACACGCAAACAGACAATACTCAATTTAGGATCATCTTTTACTGACTCTGGTTTTTTCATTTTCTTACTTTACTCACCCCAAACCTCAACATTTTGTGCAGCCAGTGGCTACCATTGCTTAATCAATATTTGTTTTTAAGATTCAGAAGCTCTCCAGCTGTTTTACGGACAGATGAAAGTGCGCCACACTCCCACCGCGATGAGCGTCCAAGGTGTGCTAACAGATGTAAATCATCTAGCATAGCTGTCTGTGATGCAGTCATTTCAGATTCACGTTCAAGCCGCTATGAAGTCTCCCTCCTCCTCCTATTCCATCAGAACGTGCGTCGTGAACAGTTACTCTAGTAATCGTTGATAGTTAGTCCCTTATCCCTCACAAAGTGTTTTGTTCTCTTACTCCCTTGTCCTTATCTCTATACCTCACAACTTACCATTTTTATTTTGTACCTCGCTGCGTTCGATAAACTTTGCATTTATCGTGTTTTCTTTTCTTGTCAGTTTTGCCAATAAATAGCGCGCTACATTAGCGCGGCGCGCTGAAGCTGCCTATTCAGTCCAAATTCGCGGCTCGCCCGAACTGAAATTTCTTGAACACACATGCACAAACAAATGCTGGTGGTCCTCCTTGAAAGCAGCAAGAGCTCCATGGCGCCGATCTCATATTAGCACTGCTTTATGCACAGCAGAGCACTGTGTACTCAGCTCACATTGAGCAGTTCGTCGCCTCTATTTCTCGCCCGTATTTGAACGCAGCTGCTTTCCGCTGCGTTATTCATCGACTAATATTTCGCTATCCGTGGAAATGGGTCTGGACGCTGAAGTTACCCACGACTGCAGCCCACTTGTAGAATCTTCTACAATACTAAACAGAAGTACCCTCGTTTTTTTCTCTAAGTGTCTGCTTACAATAGTGGTTCTCACCTATTCCAGCTTTATTGCTCGTAACTGAAAACAATGTCCAAAACTCTAAATTATTGGATCATCCACTCATCCACACGCACAAAAAATGCACTGAATCAATAAAAGTTTCCAGTGATCAGTAACTGACTTTCAACTGCTAGAAATTTCAGACAATAACAAGAAAAGACGTATTGAATTAAATTCAAACTAGCATCAACCAAGCTTCTCTGTCAATCGAGTTAAGCTACTGCAAACTTGTAGCACATACTTTCACATACTTCGCTAAAAAGTCTTCCCAAATAAAACCGTAAAAACTAGACGCAATTTTGAAAATCTTTGCGCTTACAACGACCTTAGAGTTATGAAGTTTTCTGCGCCCTTTTACGGAACTTATAATGGCCAAAAAACTGGTCTGGATTCTTACCCGAGTCGCGAAAAACTGCAGTTTGCGGCGGTTCAACAAAAAACAACAGCAAAACACAATTACAACAGTAACAACAGTAACAATATGGTTGCAGTCCGGTCATAAACGAAATCACACGTGGTGAGATGAAAGCAAGTGTATGAGGTACAGAAGGAACAACGGGGCACAGACACCAAAAACTAGCGAATCACGATTATATCTAATATTGAGCGTTTTGTCTTGGAAAGGAGCGGCCAGTGATAGATTAATGATAATGAATTCATGAGATTTTTGACACATTGAGATTTGCTACTCTTGTAAGCATGAGCTTTGGCTCCAGTAACTCCACTAGATGGCTCCAGTAGATGTTTGACTCATCTGCAACTATGTTGCTGGAATGCTCCGCGGTTTTTTTTGTACAACATCGCCAAAAAGTCTCATAGCAATGCAACCATCTAGTGGCCTTTAATACTGATATCAAGGCAAACTTGCTTAATTATAGTCACGCTATCAGCTCGAGAGTGGATAGCATGACAAGTGGGTGCACAGAGATTGATGAAGTGCAGGGACCGTCCTGAGTGCGATGAAGTATGAGCACCTAGCCCGTAGGCTCAAATACTCCATCACAAACAGGACAGTCCCTACACTGCATGCAATCTCTGTGCACCCATGCACGACAACTTGTGCATGACCACCAAAGGATGTCCGCGCCTTCCATAATAGGTTCATCTTCCGGATCTTCTAGCGGTGGCTGCGTGTCATCACACAGAACGCAGATGTTCAGTTCATCTGCAACTATGTTGCCGGTGTACTCTGCTGCACATTCAGACTGCATATGCTGTGTTTTCTAAAACAAAGAAATTTTTTTGATGAGATGTGGGAATACCAACGTAAGAAGACCTTACCATTCGCCTGACTGGATTTTGTTTCGTTAAGACCTTTCGACCGCGCTTTGGGCACTCTCTTCTTGGTATAAGCACTGGTTTATGAAGCGCGCCTGGAAACAACTTTATTCGTTTGGGCTCATAGTTCTTTGGTTCCGTACCTGTACCTAACTCTTCATCAGCCGCTTGGAGCAGTAAATCTCGAGTACGCATTAGCGAAGCTATCCGGTTCTCATCCACTGCAAGGCGAGTATTCCACGAAAACGAAAGTCGATCCACGAGCTGATGGGAGATAATGTACAAGATTATCGAATGAAACTTCACTCACCTCTTGTAACTCTGTTACAAGCTCCTTTCGCTTGTCACTCAAGCTCACCACTTCTTCCAAACCTTCTATTACTGCTTCTTCTCCCGAACCTTCTATTACTGAGACGTCCTCATCGCAGCAGGGAGTATCGCGATTTACAGACTCCTCGTTATCGCATGCTAACATTTGATTTGAATTATTTTTAAAAAAGTAAGAATGTGTCCCCTACCATCATAGTTCAGCGCCCATGCGTGCGCGTGTTTGCAGGATATTCCCGATTTCACAGCGTCAGCACAAGAACAAGATACGTACATGGGGCACACGCCACACAAAGAACAATGCATTTGTTTCTAAATCAGCTTTTAGAAAGACAGGAACACAAACGATAGCGACAACTAACACTTACACTCTCGCATTCGCAGCGAAGAACTGTGATTATGTAGAGTTTCTCAGGACTTGTAAAAGAGGCTATAGTCCATTCTCCATTTTTCAAGCGTGTCAGTTGAACGTTTTTTGCTTCCTCTACGGCTCTTCTATGTCTTGCAATATTTTCTTTCGCCCTAAACTTGCCCTCTATGATTCCGCGCTCGTCTTGGACAATGTGCTCTCTCGCTATGGCGGGTATTGCACTAATCAAAATCTGCACCAACTCGTCTGCCCGGCGGTTCGATGATCGATTGAGTAACGTGTACTTCAAAGTACGATGCCAACGCTCCGAAACCATGGTTGTGTTTGCTATGGCTGCAGTTCTGTTGTACGGCGCCCACTCCTCTTGACGACTGAGATAATACCGTCGGAAATAATCGTCAAAATTAGCACATCCTCGATGTTCGCGGCGGTATTCAGCAAGTAAAGTCAGTAGCATGCATTTGGCTTTATGCCACTCTACCTTGTTTGACTGTGTAAACATTGTTTTGATCCAGCCTGAAGCAAAACATAGATATTTGTTAGAAAATGTACTAATAATCCAACCTCCAAGCTTCCGCCGTCTTTCGTCGGACTTCCCTCCGAAGCAAGAGCTTAACTTATCGAAAACAGCTTTTTGACAATGCCATGAGCACAGGAGTTTAGTTGTATGAGCCTTCGGAAAAACAGCTCGGAACCCGTTCCAAAAACTCATAGTATCATCAGAAAGAAAATAACGTGGTTCAAAACTGTTATCCACGCGTTTCACCTCCTCGAATAGCAAACCGCTCTCTTCTTTGCCCATCTTATTGGCTAAGAGAAAAGCAGCTGGTAGACCACGTCCGTAGTCGTCTACCACCATCATCGTAGCAAGCTTCAACTCATATCTGGTGGTGCAGTGTGTGTCATCAATAGATATTCCGCGATAGCTGTACCGTTTGATCAATTCAATTTGATCCGGCGTTATGATGATGACGCGAAAACTGCCTCCATTGCCTGGTGTCGGTGCTTCGAACTTCCGGAATCCATCCTCCTGTACACCCAATTCGTATCTCAAGGAGAGTGACTGCATGTCGTCCTCATGAAGGCGTCCAGGCTGCAGCGAAAGACTTTTCCTCGCATTTCGCACGTCGGCGGCTGATGTCCAATACAAACGGTGGTTTGCATCTGTGTACTGCTTTCGGATTATCCTTAATACCACAGGGACATCCAGTCCCAAGTTTAGGTAGTGCCCGATGGACTGCCTATCAGCTTCGGTTAGTGGTAGCAATGCAGCAGAAACATTATGGCCTACATGCTCTCCACAGAACTTTACGCTAACCTCACCGTTGTGGAAAATCTTTGCCTAAATGAAAAAATCGAAAGGTTTTGTAAGAAATTACATCAATTACCTTAAGGAATGACGTGCAATATCTGGTCACTACCTTCGATTTGCCCCCTTTACTTCGCACTACGCCAGATCTTAAAAAACCAGAGTAGTGAGTGAGCTCCAACGACTTTTATTTACCTATTACAAATGTAATGTGTTGTTTTGTACTCATTGAATGTAGATGTGCCGTTATTCTTCCATTTGATAATTCTGTGTTTCTCGTATTCTGCTTTCCAACACTAAAAACCGTGATGTAGAATTAAAATCACAAAGCTTCCCCCCTCCTTTACCTCATACTCGGTTTCGTTTGCAAACGTCCTTGTTTCTATAGCACAACCCTCCCTCCCATGTGCTTCCCTACAGTGCTCGTTTAGAGCGACCTGGCCAGGGACACCACTCTGGCAAACGGGACATGGCCAAAGCCTCGTAATTCTGCTTTCAGGGTGCACTCTCTTGATGTGCTTCTTCAGCGCCTCCTTGCTCGTTCCCTTATAAGCGCATCCTGCTGCGGTACAATGAATATTCTTCTCGGCATTTGAGCTTTTTTGTACAAAAAGAATGTGGGCATCAGCATTGTGCTCTTCTCTCAGATGGGCGGTCATGCAGCAGTACGTGAAAGACTTCTCGCAAAGTGGACAACTTTGCTTCTTTGCACCCGGTCGAGCAACCTATAACCTCGCTAAATCATCTCACATATGAGGACGCTTTGAGAAATCTGCCGTTTTTGTTTTCAGAAAGATTCGTACTTCTGGCTACAACCCTTTTGATTCCCCGGGTGTGATGATTTGAGTGGTCAATCGCCAATCATGCATGGGGCACGCGCCATACTTAATCGTCTTGATCCGCATGATCCGCTTCCTTAAAACTCAACCTCACTAGTTTGTCATTTGGCGTCGCGTATAGCGAATTTGCGCCTGCACTACAATATACTTTTCCACATAAGGGGTGCCAAGTGACAAGCTAGTAACCACGCTTTATTCATGAGCGAATCAAGCAGATCAAGTGGATGGAGGATCAAGTATGGCGCGGCCTAAGATACGATTAGAGAGCACGCTCGCCGAGAGATGCAGACTCAAGGACTCCGCCTATCAGGCGCCACCCCCCGGGAAGTAGTCCCTTGGCACTTGATTGCAGGAAGGTGAACAAAACATAAATAACACTTGCTTGTCAAAAAGCACAATAAGGTTTGCAGAGTTGAAGTTTTAGATTGTATTAACACATTCACGACAATACGACCCACCCGTGGGTCGTACGCGTACTGCCATTTCGGACATACGACCCATCTTTGGGTTCATACTACTAGGCAGTGCAGATTTACGATGGAAGTATATGAGATGTCCCTTCATGTTTGGAGACGTCTAGGGGAAGACCCAATTAGAAGACCACTTTGCAGACCATACGGCCCTTCAGTAATCGAAAAAAAGACGCGAGAAAGTTGCTACTTGTGGGTCGTATGTCTGGAACGGCAGAAATCGATAATGGCCGAGTCGTGAATGCGTTAAACTCATCAAGTAATCACAAAATAATCATCAAATCAAGAGAATGAGCCTAAGGGAACTGAAATTGACGTACCTGCTCTTCCAAAGGTTGCACTTCCCGCAAGCATCTTTGTGTTACCGTGAAACCCTGTAATGCTCAACTGTAGTTACTGAAAAAAAGTGCACAATTTCCTACATTTTCCCCAGTAAAACAGACTCACCTTGTTAACAGTTTGGTCATTAGTTCTGCACATAGCGGAGTGCGATTGCAACAGATTGACAGCTGTAAATACAGAAATTGAGCAAAATTAAAGCATGTGCCGAACGCCAACCTAAAAAAATTCTCTGGTGCTTGCAACTGCGTCACGATTGAGCTCATACAAGGGAATCAACTCTTTCTGCAACAGTCCTGCAAAAAAGGCAGCTCGCCAGATCACCGAAAATAAGGCCATGCAATAGCGAGTTCGACGTTATTGAAGGAAGAGGATGAAAACAATGGCGAAATGACGAATGTAAGTTGAAGTAGCAGTCAAAAAAATCCGATAAAAGGTAAAGTAAGGTAGTAAATGAGGAAAGGGAATAACAACAGCAATAGAATGATGAATATAACTTCCAATAACAAGCGAGAAAATCTTTGAAAAGTTAAAAACAAAGCAGTCATGTAAAGAAAACGCGGTGGGATTCCGAATATTACACACTTTGCAGCATCAGATCAGCTCCATTTTCTAAGTAGTGAAAAACGTTTCATGCACTGTGAGCATTGGAAACAATGGTGCAATCCAAGTGAAGTAAACCGTTGTAAAAGAACTCCAACTGCGTCAAAGTCAAAGAACATAGGTTCCTTATCCACCATGTATAGGTTCAGCGTAGTTCCATTGTATGTGATGAGTTTGGCGTGTGCATATTGTACTTTCTTCGGCAACACCTCGGTGAAAGTGGGACACAAACGTTGGAGGTTTTTTCATGAATGTGATAATGATACAAAGAGATACAACGTGTTTTTTTCCATTTTCATAGCGGCACAACGCTAGGATGGGCTACCGTTCGATGCAAGGGCCTAGAACGAAGAAAAAACAATAAAAATACCACAATATTGACACTTCATGCGAGGATATCCACAAAAACCAAGAAGTGGCCTTGGCGGCGCATTTGGCTTCATGCCAAGCTCATTCCGGTTTTTGGTTGGTCCCGCCGCGCGCCCAGGTTACGGTAGCTAGTGCCACTGTCCGACTCCGACATATAATGGTTTATGCAAATGGGCGGTCCGTCGCGGTGACATCACTGGCAGGCAAGTGGGAGGCTTCTCGGCCCTGCTGCAAAGGTCCGCCATTTCTCCGGCGCGACTCTGCCAGATTTGGCGGACTCGCGCCGGAGAAATTTGTCCGGCGCGAGTCCGCCAGATTTGGAAGAGCCGCGCCGGAGAAAATGGGAGGGGTCCGGAGCAGAAATGGGAGGCCTCCGGAGCAGAAAATGGGAGGTATCCGGAGCAGAAAATGGGGGGTATCCGGAGCAGAAAATGGGAGGTATCCGGAGCAGAAAATGGGAGGTATCCGGAGCAGAAATGGGAGGGCCCCGGAGCAGGCTGCGTATCGATTTGGCGCGTCGTTGCAAATCATTCATTGCTAAGGCGTGGTGTTGATTTCGCAACCAAGTCTTTTTGCTTCATTCTGTCGTCCGCACATCAAAATAACGTCAGAATTCTATAATAATTTGGTTTCTGCGTTCCAGCTCTTTCGGGCTTTTTCGGACTTTTTTGGGTTTTTCGGGCTTTTTTTCGGCGAAGTATGACGGGTCCCTAATGATGGTGAAAGATCTATCCACTCTGTGATTTACTGGCCCCTCGTGTTTATCATTGCTCGTTTCGTGGAATGATTCGAGTTATATACTAAGTTCTCCATATGCCATTGCTTCTCTGTAGGGTCAACCATGCCTCGGATCAAGACTGTGCATTCGAAGGTTACAAAGGCTCCACGTCGTTCTTTTGAGAAGGAGCGTCTCGACCAGGTAACGACGTTTTCACATTCTATGTTCAGCAGGACTTCCAAACCTTGTCAGAGAAAAGTGCATTTTGCGTAGCTTCATTTTTGTGGTATAATTTGTATGCTGATCGATTTGCTATTTCATCTTTTCATTCCTTTACACTTAGTGAGTGAAAATCTTCCATCTCTGTTCGTCTTTTGCTTGAAGATTTTGATCTAGGAGCAACCTACAGATTTAGCTCGTGTTTTATTGCTGCGTACTTTGATTGAAGAGAAAAGAGCTTCATCAAAAATTTTCAGAGATTTGATAGGCACTAACATATTTGTGGGTGGAGGACTATATGTCGCCGAAAAAGGGCGGTCCCCGCGGTCATTTGCGACAAATACGCACTCTTGTACCTGCGCGGACATGCGTTCCTGCAGGGAATCCGCGCGGGACTCTTCCAAATTCGGCGACATATAGTCCTCCACCCCATGTTTGTAAATATTGGGTTCCGCTCTAATAAATCCCTCTTTTCTGCCTTTGTAATTCTTTCAAAATCTTATATACAGTTACCTGATATTTTGTTGGTTTCCTGCGCTCGAGAAAGAAATGATTACTTTTTGGGGAAACGGTCGTAAGGGAACGGCCATAGGTTCGCAGTGTTCGCGGTTTCGTGGTGTTCGCCGTGGGATAGTATGGCATAGTATAGTAATAGTATCATAGTATCATAATAGTATAGTATCGAATAGTATCATCTGGAATGGTACATATGGCCGATCCCGACAACACCGACAACACCGACAACACCGGAACACCGCGAACATCACGAACACCGCGAACACCACTAACATCGGATACCGCGAACACTGCGAACCTATGGCCGTTCCCTAAGGTACAACTCTTCAGGCTATCACTGCTCTTCTTCGCCGTCTTGTACGTATTGGAGTGCTTCCTGAGGATCGAATGAAGCTCGATTACATTCTCGGTCTTCGTGTGGAAGATTTCCTCGAGAGACGTTTGCAGACGCAGGTTTTCAAGTTGGGATTGGCAAAATCCATTCATCACGCCCGTGTCCTAATCAGACATAGTCACATTCGGTGAGCAACTTGTGGATTGTCATATCTTTCCTTTTTTTTCTTATTTTGCATGATTATTTTGCCGCGGGCCTCCGAAGTGGGTTGGCCCATTCGTGAAAATTCTTATCTTTAAAATGGCGCTTCTCGTCAGCTTTCGAGGGTTTCCAGAGGGACCCGTCATATTCGTCGAAAAAAAAACACCCAAAAGCTCTAAAAAAAAGCCCAAAAGCGCCCAGAAAGAGCCGGAATGCCCCATTCGCGGCAAGTTTTGGCGCTACGACATGCGTGTTGATTTCGCAACCAAGTCTTTTTCCTTCGTTTTCTCGTCTGCACATCAAAATAATGTCGAGTTTTACCAAACAACAACCCGGATGAAAGAGATTAGTGTGACTTGGCTTTTGTAGTTTCTAGGAATCCGCATTTATTTTAGCTTCTGATGCAGCCGATTATTGTGTCTTTGTCGTGGTATTCTGATTCGTCCTTCTAGCTGTTTGTCTAGTTCAAACTTTTCTTCCTAGGAATTGATGCCAAGGGCTCACGAGCATGGCTGTGTATTCGATTGCTGAAAGTTTAAGCAAGTGTCTGCATCTCGAACTTGGGTGTATGTCAAGAGGCGCGATTTTTGCCAGATGGGACTAATTAGCGCATTTTAAGTGTTTCAAAACGTTTCAAAAGACTTCTGATTTCTGAAGGGATATGTAAGAATCGTTTTCAGGGCAGTTTAAAGGCACCCTCCACCCAAAGTGGGGACGTGTACTCTCTCGCCGAGATTTTTCGTGCGAATTTATATCGCGGTTCGTTCTGTGCCAGGCAATGCTCGGAGACCCAAATGTCACAGATGCTGCAGTCCATATGATTGAGATGATTGTTGTTGATTGATTGATTGATTGCAGTTAATTTGAAATAAATGTCTTGTTTTTTTATTCTTCTATCTTTATCCACAAACGCTAGGGGTGAGAGGGAGGGGGTAAAGAACGGGGTTGAGGGTCGCGCTAAACTCCTACCCGGGGGGGGGGGGGGTCCTATTCGGCTTATTTGGGTGGGGTTTAAAGACAAAATTGGGGTTTGGAGCTTAAAGGCAGCGTCCAGGCAAGTCTGGACCTATGGGCATTTTACATGGAAAGTACTTTTGGGGCCCTAACTAAGCCACTGCCCAAGCGGCAGCTCAGGTAGTGCTGTAATGGCTGAGATATTCCCCTCGAAACTGGACCCCGCGACCGTGTTTCGCATGGATTCATGGCGCAAAGCGTGGATCCTGGCGCGAAACTGCCATGAATCCATGCGAATACGTTCGCGGGGGGTCTGTTTCGAGGGGAATATCTCCACCACTACACTACCTGAGCTGCTGCTTCGGCAGTGCCTTAGTTAGGGCCCCAAAAGTACTTTCCATGTAGAAGCCCCATAGGTCCAGATCTGCCTGGAAGCTGCCTTTAATTAGGGCTAATTACAGTATGCCGCGACAGACTTGCGGAGCACAAAATCGGGGGGCTCCGGCGCACAAAATCGGGGGGCTCCGGAGCAGAAAATGGGAGGTATCCGGAGCAGAAAATGGGAGGTATCCGGAGCAGAAAATGGGAGGTCTCCGGAGCAGAAAATGGGAGGTATCCGGAGCAGAAATGGGAGGTCTCCGCCGGAGAAATGGGAGGGCTCCGCCGGACAAATGGGAGACCCACCGCTGGGGAAACGGCGCGACCCTGCCATTTCTCCGGCGGAGGGGTCCTATCCGTTGCCTGAGCAAATTCAGGTAACTGCTAGACTATGGCTTGGAGATCAATTGTCGAACGAATCATGAACTTTGCCAAAGTCTGTACATCGATGCAATATTGCTGATTAAAAGCCGAATGACACTTAGCGCGCAGTCTTTGAAGGATCCTATTACAACGGCCTTCCTTGTGCGTTGTGGACCTACATGCTGGTAACGTACATTATGCAATCGTGATGGCTGGGATCTTGTCTGTAACTAGCCCAGCACATCTCGTAAACAAACAAAAGGATAGACGTTGTCAGCGCGTTATTATTGATAGAATAATTGTAGAGAATATTTTATGCATAACGATGACAGATAGTTTACTCGCTTCGCTTTCGTCAAACTCTCACCATATAACTTCTTGGTATTACATTTAGATGTCGTTGTAATATGCTGGCTGGCCCACCGTATGGCATCCATTGAAGTCAAGAAGCGCAGGATCCAGAGACGCCGAGAGCAGATTCAAGTATGTTTTTTGAATATCCGTTCGTTGTCATCGGAGGAAAGACTGACAGCGCTTGAGGAAGAGTTAGAATTGATAAAATTTGATTTCGTTGGCCTTTGCGAAACACGCCGCAGCGGCAACTTTCATGCAAAGCGCACGTCTTCTGGATTACACTTTTACAACAGCGGGCGAACGGAAGGAGAAGTTACTCGCAGGGGAGTTGGGATACTTGTAAATGAACGATTACATCGGCATTGCGCAGGCGTAAAGTTCCTCTCCGACCGTTTATTACAAATTCATTTTGTTCTGCGCGGGAAGTCGTTACGAGTAACTGTAGCATACGCCCCCTGGCAGGAGGAAGAGTACGAAAAATTTCTCGATGAGCTCCGCAGCGCGATATCCCAAGGGCGTTATGCACACGACATTTTAATTGGCGATTTCAACGCACGTGTAGGAGGAGGAAAAATGCGATCTGAGTTCGTAGGTCAGAAATGCTACGGATCACGAAACAACAAAGGACAGGCGTTGGTAGAATTTGCGGAGTCGGAAAGGTTCTATATAATGAATACTTTTTTCCAAAAGCCTAAAAAGAGACGATGGACCTGGCGCTCTCCTAATGGAAGCGTTGTTGAAGAAATCGACTACGTTCTGACGCGCCAACCACGAATCATAACTGATGTTGCTGTTCTCAACAGGTTCAACGCCGGGAGCGACCACCGCCTGATTCGAGCCGATGTGAATCTTCGCACGACACAGATCAAATTCCGTACTCGTCAACTGCCTCCAGACTATAGCGAGATAAAAATGAAAACAGCCTTGCTGAATGATAAACGAATTGCCAGGATTTCATCCTCGACATCTATGACGGCTGACCCGGTGGACTCTTGGCAACAATTGTGTAAATCTATTCAAGATGCTGCTACTTTCGCCGAAGTCTCTTGGGAGCCGCTTGAACGAATCTCTAAGAGAACTCGTTCTCTTCTTCTTCGTAGGCGTGAATTGAAGTATGGGCTAGAACAGACGAAGACGTTGAACACTCATGTTGATTACGTAACCGTTTGCAAGACTGCGCGATGGTCAATGAAGGACGATCTTTACCGGCATCACTGTTCCGTCCTAAAACGAGCCATTGAACGCAATCGTATAAAACGCGGGCGTCTCGAGCTTATCCGTCAACAAGAAGTCGTATGCCAATTGCGAAGGCCAGATGGGACAATGACCACTACTTCCACAGAGGCTCAATTACTCGCTAATACCTTTTTCGCTGAGCTTTACACGGCCCGCGAGATTACCGTTCCATTCCACACTCACCGACCTATCACTCATCCTATCAGCACCGATGAACTGAGAAAAGCGGCTTCAAAGATTAAAGGAAACACTGCTCCAGGAGTTGATGGTATTCGCTCTATTGCTGCAAAGTATGGTGTAGAAGTTGTTGCACCCCAACTTGCAAACATCATCAACCGAATGTTCGAAGACAACCACATCCCTGCCGACTTCGCCCATGCCACCCTGATTCTCCTCCACAAAAGCGGTGACCGCTACGATATCAAGAACTACCGACCGATCTCCCTTTTACCCACAATCTACAAAGTTCTGACGAGAGCACTGGCATGTCGAGTCGAAGAAAAAGTGTGCAAGTACCTATCTGTTGAGCAAGCTGGGTTTCGTCAACGTTTCTCAACTACTGACCATTTACAAGCTATCAATCAACTTATTGAAAAAACGCATGAATATCACCTACCCATCGCATTCCTTTTTCTTGACTTTCAGAAGGCATTTGATACCATTGAGTTCAACTCAATTTGGAGAGCTCTTGCTCACTACGGAGTTGATACCGATACAATAACGATGATACAACTCCTGTATCAAGCAGCTACGGCCTCGCTTCAATCTGATAAAGCCAATGCTCCGTTCAAAGTACAGAGGGGAGTTCGCCAAGGGGATGCTTTATCGCCAGTTATCTTCATCACGTGTCTTCAGTTCGCAATAGATTCTGTCTACTGGGAAGATGGAGACGGCTATGATATCTTTGGAAAGCAACTGCGCTATCTTGCATTTGCGGATGACGTTGTGCTTATAGCTCGCTGCCCGAGTCGATTACAGTCAATGGCCGTAAAAATTCTCAAAGCTTGTCAGCAAGTTGGACTTCAAATGAATGAAAAGAAAACCAAATGGATGGGTGAGGACAGAGATCGCATTTGGAGGAGTTCAACAATCACACTGAACAGCAACACCATCGAACGCGTAGACTCCTTTATCTATCTCGGTCAGCTACTGCAGTGCCCAAGTGATCACGATAAAGAAATATCCAGGCGCATTGGGATGGCATGGAACGCTTTTGGCAAGATGCGGAGATTTCTTACCAACAGAAGCGTAGCTGTTCATCTAAAACGACACTACTTCAACAAAATCATCCTTCCTACACTTCTGTATGGCTGTGAGACATGGTCAACCACTAGAAAGTCGATGCTAAAACTACTGCGATGCCAGAGAGCAATGGAAAGGCTGATGCTAGGATTTCGACTGAAAGATCACAAATCTTCAACATGGATTCGTTCTATAACAAAGCTGAAGGATGTGGTAGCAGCGGCACGGCAAAGGAAGTGGCGATTTGCTGGGAAAATTTATAGAATGCAAGGCGAAGAAAGATGGACAAGGATTCTCACGCGCTGGATACCATCTGTTGGACGACGCTTTGTAGATGGCAGACCAAGAACTAGATGGGAAGACGACATACGAAAGCACTGTAATGTTTCCTCTGCTTGTAAATGGCAAGAAAAAGTCATGGATTCTAGCCAATGGAGGCGACTAGAACGCGCATATGTGACAACATACTGATTAACAGAAGCCTCAGACAAAATCATCACGGTTTTTATCACTAACATGTATAACCGTTGAGTATGATTAAAAGATAAAGATAAAGATAATGTAATATGCTCAAGTTGCCATGAAGTCAAAGAACCGTCCGATCAAAGAGGAACTTTTTGGATAAATGAACTACTCTGTTTTGCTTTTATAGCGCATCATCGCAATGATATGGGTATAAATAGTCGTGTTTTTGCAATCTGCAGTCATTTTCATGTGGTCTATCACGTTACTACTGCTCTCAATTTGCGCTTCAGCAGCATCATATCAGGTGTTTCTGATTTCCCTATCTCTGCTGCTGAAGGATTTTAAACGATTTCAGACTAGAAAACTCCAGAAGAGTGAACACAGTGGTAAGCAAACGGCCATTGAAAATAATCTTGTTTCGAACGATAGTAGGACTATTTCAATCGATAAACATTGAACACTGCAAAGTCGACGATATCTAGTAGCCGAGATCAACGACGGCAATGGCCTGTTGCTAAAGCACTCGGCATACCTCACATTACGTCGAGGCGCGATTTGCATGGTAGGACAAGCGTTTCGCAACACAAAGTGCGTGGTTCGCGAAGCAAATTGAGACTTGTTCGGCACGACGGATCGCTACTAGTTTTCGATCGTGCATACCTCTCTCGGAGAAATCGTCGAATTCAAGTGACGAATGCGTATCGCCCATTTGCGGTTACCAAGAGCGACGTGATCTAGACGTTCTAAAACGCTTTTTCCGTTGAGCGTATCCATTATAAAACATTGTTTTTTCATTCTTTCAAACACCTTTATTCCTTTCTTCTTCTGCTTTGCTATCAGTTCGTGTTGCAGTTGTTGGGA